CCTCTGCTCAGTCCCCATGATCCAGTCCTTTCTTTTTTTGCTTTCTGGTTGGCATCAGAGTGGACTCCAGAGTCCCGTTCCCATTTCACTGCGCTCGAATTTGGTTTTGGTGTGGTGGCGAAGGTTTGCATGGAGAGGGAGAGCCACAGTGAGTGGAGAAGAGGAGAAAAAGGATGAGCTTTCTCTCTCCTAGAAGTACAAATGGATGGAGCAGTATTTCTGAACAAACAAGTCTCTCATCCCTGTCTCCTGGAAGCTGCATTATCAGAGCACCATCACTGTCCTCTCTTCTCCTTCCTCCCCCCGCCCAATGAACAGGAATTAAAAATACAACTAATAAAACCCTTTTACTTTCTCCAGCAGGAGGAAAAAAAAAAAAGAAAGCAAAGCAGCCTTGAAAATGCTAAAGGACATAAAGGGCATTCATGAAAGGGTTGGATGGTGGTTATTGCAGCAGGGGGAAAAACATTATTTCACTGTGCAGATAAAAGGAAGTGGAAAAGCAGCATATTTATAGCTGGGGAGCCTGGATTCCTTGTTAAGCTGCTATTATCAAATTAATGTCAAAATGCATCAAACAGGCACGAGTGTTCTGGGCCCCTTATGCAAAGTGCTTGCAAATTGGTTACAAATACATTTGTTTACAGGGGACGAGGCAGGAGCGAGCTAATTAGTCATTGTAGCAGGGCTGTTTTGTGTCCTTTTTTTTTTTTTTTTTTTTTTTTTTTTTTTTTTTTTTTTTTTTTTTTTTTTTTTTTTTTTTTTTAATTTTTTTTTAACATTTTTTTGGCAATTACACAAACAAGCTGTTTTGAAGTATAAATGCCCGCTGCATTACAGCCCCTTTAAAAGGGAATCAGACAGGGATTGTGGGATGCAGAGGGCTGGACGTGGGTGAGCATTGCTGCCTCTCCTCCCTGGACCCTGCAGCCCGTGCTGGGCACTCGGCTCCGGGATGTGGTGTGGAAACTCCCCGGGAGGGCATCGGCAGGAAGAGGTGTGGCTGTGAAGGGAACAGCTTGTGGGTTTGGGTCATCCAAGGGTGTCGATAACCCCTCATACGGGGCACAGTGCCAGGATGGGGGTGGCTGTAGCTGCTCCAGCTCTCTGAGCACTTTGGCTGCCGTGCGGGCTGCAGGCACATCCCGTGCTGGGGGTTGGACTTTGGGATATGGGACCTGTGGAGGTTTCAGTCGCCCACCAGTATTGTGGGAATTCCCTTTGGGCCTGGGATATCTTGAGGTGCTTTGGCTATAAGCAGCAGCTGCCAGCTCAGGGTATGAAGCACTTTGTGCCCAGCTGCTGGGCACCAACATTGTTTTGGGGGATGCCTGGACATACAGAGCATCCCGTGGTTGGGTGACAACATCCGCTCTGTGTGAAGAAAGGAGTCTGGTGTTCCCCCAGGTGAACGTGTCTTCGGGGCTTCTTTAACCAAACCACAGGCTGTGCCTCCCAGATCCGTTAATGAGGAAGGGAAGCAGGAAATCTTATCTGATCCTCAGTGTGGGAATGGTTGGGGAATTTGGTTGGGGGGCAGATGGAAACTTCCCGCTGCCCTGCATCTTAATGCATCCCGTTCTGAGATTAAATCACACCTCTGCCACTCGGGGAAGCTGCTAATTGAATCCGCTCTGATGGGAGAGAGGGATGAAGCCAAGAGGCATTTACTACCATTAGTATTATTTTTAATTTACTAAGAAAGAGAAAGGAGAGAGGAAGGAACACTTTGTTGCCCCTCTCGTGCTGCAGGCCCCGACGTTTCTTGGCAGAAGGTGCAAACAGCCCCGTGGCTGCTTCTCCATTTGGATTTGCTTGTGGTAAATCTGCCCTTCAGGCTGGAATAACCCTTCTGAGCAGGTCCTGCGCTACCAGAGGTGCTGGGAACATTGAGTTTAATGCCATCATAAAACCCTGCTGTGGTTTCCATTCCCTCAGGGGGGGCAGTGACCGTGCAGGATGGTCGTGCTCAGCACGGCTTTCGTGCCAGCAAAGCCTGGGGTGCACCAGGTCCTGCCGTGGATGGAGCTGGGTGGCTTCCTGAGGTCCCTCTGGGACAGAGCTTTCCTCTCAGAAGCCCAGGGCTTGGTACAGTGAAGGGACATGAGCCTGGCTGAGCTCCCCAAGCCCAGTTCATGAGGGGAGTTGATGATATTTTGTGTCTCCAGCCTCCTGGCTCCTCCCTGGTTTGCAGATGTTGGGTGCAGCATATCATTAAGCTCATCATCATCTGGGTGGGAACAGCGCAGGAGAAAATCTTCTGGGAGGACCAAGAGCAGCAGGAGAGGGAAGGGCTTTCCCTGGCCTCCTGCAGGAGCTCTGATGTTTGCTCCAGGTTTTATTCTTGTAAAACTCAGGGTATGACTTCTCTGCACCTTAGACCTGCTTTTCAGCACCACCTTCAAACTCCAAACCTCTCGTTACCATTTCTGGTCCCGCTGACTTTGGCAGGCTCATTTGCCGTGGGGAGGGCGACCCACTCCATCGGGATCAGGGTGTATGATTTTGAGGAATGTTCCCATTTCCAGCCTAATCCTACCCCTGCCCTACGAGCTCTGCAGGAGCGCAGCTCAGCTGGCCAGCAAATGTGTGAGCAGCCCATTGCAATCAGGCCGCAACTCGCTCCTGGTTGTTCCAATCAGAACGTGTCTCTCCTCATTTGTTGCAGGGCTCTGGCTCCGGTTTGACTGTCACCTCTGGTGATTGTTGGTGACCGTGGCACGGGAACGGATCCTGCTGTGGTTTGAGCTGTGGGTGTTTCACTCCTGCTTTCCTTGTGCAGGGAGTGTGCCAGCATCTCCTCTCTCTGACGGTCAGAAGCAGACATCCAGTTCCCACCCTCAGTAAGTCATACTGGTTTGTACCCTTTCCCTTGGAGAAGGCTGTGGAGCCCCAATGGTTTTGCTTCAGTGCGATGGGACAATGGGGCACAGACCTGGGCTTGATTCTCTTCTGCACTGTTAATTAGTGTAGTGAAGGCACTTCTTGGAGTGACCATTGGCACTGTGTGTGGCAGTGACTTCCAGCTTCCTGGTGAACCCTTCAGTTTCCAAACGTGCCCAAAGCACACAGGGACCTTCCTTAGTGTGTCCTTGGACATGTTTCTCAGTGGCCTCGTCTCCCATGTCCAGAGGGGGTGGACACACTGCCCTTCAGTTCTGACTCCCATATCCCCCAGAACAGGAGGTTTCCGTAGGATTGAGGTGTCCAAGGTTTTTAAACTCTTGCAACAAAGAGGAAAACACTGCAGTTGTCCAGTCCTCATGCTTGTTGAGCAAATGGGAGAGGATGAAGAGGTTCCCTCCAGGCTGAGGGACAGGGATTGGGTCTTGGCCATTGTCCACCCAAGTGGCAGGAAGAGTGTGGAGATGCGGGGACAGCAACTCCAGGGAGGGCTGGGGACTCACGTGCAGGGCTTGGGGACATGCTGAGGGTTTGCTTGGCTCTGTTCACAGCCCAGAGCTGGTGGTTCCTGTATGGGAGCCGTGGAGGTGGTGATTGCCCTGACTGTGGGGGTGAGCACCGGGGAGCAGAACTCAGCAGGGGCGGGGAAGGCGCTGCCCGGCCGATAAGGCTGCGGGCGCTGCTGGCAGTTAATGGTAACCCGGCATCCTCTTCCTCCCCACAGGGATCCCACGTGGGCAGCACGAGGGCCGAGCTGGGCTGGGGAGGGATGTGGCCTCTCCTGATAAGCAGCTCCAGTTCCTGTCCCTGCAGATTTACAGCCGGGGAGCGGGGAGGTGGGTGCTGTGCTTTGCGGCGCGGTGATTTATAGCGGCGCAGGGCGGCAGCTGCTTCCCCCTCTGGCCACGGCCTGGCAACTGCATGGGGTGTTCCAGCTCTGTGACTAAGCTATGGGTGAGGGAAAGACTCAGCCAAGGTCACTACACGGTGGGACACAGGTGGGATGCAGGTCTCTGTCATCCGTGGTTTGGAAAATGTTCCCGCCACCAGGCTCCCCAAGGAGAGGCTGCCTCATGGCATCAGGGATGCTTCCAGCCCTTCAATCCCCAGTCCCACATGCTGGAGCCCACCAAAGTCACAAGTGAGGTAAGAGAGAGGTTCTCAGCTCTCAGACCCACGTGGGACACTCATGAGCATCACCAGCCCCACTCAGCGATGGCTGCAGTGCCAGTTGGTTTTCCATGAGTCCCTTTTGATGCAGACCAAGCAATGCTGGGCGGGGGGATGAGCTGTGGCAGGCAATGAGGGGGAGGATGATGAGGAAGGAGAGGTCAGATGCCATCACTGCGCTCCATTCCACGTCCCGGCTCCTGCCTGGATCCTCTGGTTTGTTTTAGAAGCAGCGTGGGGGCCCCAGAGCCCTGCAGACCCTCCAAGCTCAGGGTTTTATTGGCATGTGGAAATAGTTTTGTCTGGTTTCAGATCTGGCTGATCACTGACTTTCCTGCTGCCCTCCCCCCGAAAAGGGCTGACAACAACAGGCGACCCAACCGCACTCATCTTCCTCCCTCTTTCTTCTTTCTCCCCACATTGTTCTCTGAAATCCCAGCTGCTGCTTTTCTCCCCCGCTCCCTTTCCTATCCTCTCACATCAGCTGGGATGGATCCATCTGGGTTTTTTTGTATAAAAGTTCTTTTTTTTGTTGCTTGTGTTACTCCCCCATCCTGGGGGTATCAGGGTGCCTCGCTGTGCCCCATCCTCTCCTCCAGGGACAGAGGGCTCTGGGCACCCTCACTGGCACCCCTGGGCTGGTGGTGGCAGACGGGGGAGTCTTGGTGAGGGGTGAGGGCACCAGCATCTCCAGAGCCCTCATTTTACCTTTCTGAGGGAGAAACCTGGCAGATCCTGGGGCCAGAGCTGCCACATTTCTCCCTTATTTATCACTGGTGAAGTGCTGACACAGGAGATTCCTGGCAAGCCAGCTCCCACAGGGTGGGACGGGACAGGATGGGATGGGATGATAGGATGGGATGGAGCAGGTCTTCTCGTGACTGTGGGCTGCACCCTGATCCACTGCGGGCTCAGAGTCAGCATCTCCTGAGGTGATCACTTCTTTTTCTTTCTTTCTTTTTTTTTTTTAAATAATTTTAAATGCATGACTGGCAATTCAAGAGAAAACAGAAGGAACGGTTGTTATTGCTGAGGATCTCAGCCCAGCCGGAGGAGACGTCTTCCTTCTGTGGAATCAAACATCCGTCAGGGAACAGTCATGCAAATTTATTTCTCTTTTCTTCTTTTTTTTACCTATTCCATTGATCCGGAGCCTGTAGCAGTTGGCTCATGGAGAGAGAGATTTGTTAATTCAGGAGCCTTGCAAAGCCTCAGCTGGTGAGGATGGGGATTTGCCAAAGCTCCTGGCTCAGGTTTGTGCCATGTGTGGGGACTATGGCACTGTGGGCTGGGACACAACCCTCCAAAGGAGAGGGCAGAGGTGGTTGCTGTGTCCCCTGGGCATTGTGCGTGCTTGGAATGACCTGGAAAGGCAGGAGAGTGGCTGCCAGCTCTGCCAAAGTTGCTTCCCACTATGGAAAGGGACAAGGACACTTGGTCACACTGCTGGGACAGTCACCTCAAGCCCTGAGGAGTAAATGTGAGTTAAGCCCTTAAAATCCCAAGATGGTCTTAAAAATATCCATCTATGAAACTATATTTGATTTTATTATTATTATTTGACTCTTCAGTCCATCTGGGTGTTTTCAGGAGTCACCTACCAAATTTCTCTCTGCAGGTGGGAGGTTCAGGGTCCTGTCACTTCCAACGGCATCTTCATGTTGGAGAGGGATGATTCCAGCCCAACTGCTGGCTGAGGATCCACAGCTGTGCGTTGGGGAAGGTGTCAGGCTGCCTTGCATGGTCTGAGTCTTCAGAGAATTCCAGAATGGTTTGGGTTGGAAGGGACCATAAAGATCACCTTGTTCTAACCCCTTGCCATGGGCAGGGACACTTCCCACTAGGCCAGGTTGCTCCAAGCCCCATCCAACCTGGTTATGAGTCTTCTCCTTCCTCAATCTCTTCTCCTGGGCATGAAGAGCAGGTGAAGCTGCCTGGGCAAGGGCCAGAGGCTGGTGCTCTCACTGCTGTGGAGAATCTTCTGTTCTGGAAGGAAGAGCCAGAGCACATCCAGCGGCTGGAGCCCGAGAAACCTCACTCTCTGTGACAACCCTGTGTCCCTGCAATGCTGTTCCTCCTCTCTTCTGCTGGAAGCACTGCTTTGTCCTTCAAGAAAATGTCTTTTTTGCTTGAATTGAGTGTTTTGATTCTCATCTCCAAATCTCTCTCCAAATCCCATCTCTGTGTGTCTCTGCAGGCCAGCTCTGGTTCGCTGCAGGAGGCAGAGGCCAAGCCCTCAGCTGATGACTCCAGATGAGTTAAGACACGTGTGGGTGTCCCCACCACGTGGGCTTGTGTGGCTGCAGAGCAGCCACTGAGCATCCCTGCTGCTGGGAGAACCAGAGAGATTCCTCATTAAAGCAATCTGGGAGACGTTCACCCGGACAGAACTCCGAATTTCCTCTGCTGGCGCTGCCTCTCCTCTGTCTCCTCTTCCTCGGGCGGTGGAATTTGCTGGTAGGAAACAGAAAACAGGGGGATGTCGATGTCTGGGAGGGGGGGCTCTTGGCTGGAAATGGGAGCCTCCAGGTCGTGGTGGTGCCGGGTGCTGCTGGCACTGCGGGTGCTGAACGGCCACGACAGCTCCACACCCACCAGCTCGCCCTGACCGTGATCATTCCTGTCATCCCAGGTATCCCCTCCTTTCCCCCGGCCTTCTCCCCGGCCCCAGCAATGACTTGTCTGAATAACTCAGCTGAAAGTTCGGGATGGCAGATAAATACAGGATAACGGCGAGCAGCTCCCGGGCAATCCGCTGCCAGAGGGCGGCTGAACTGCCAGTGAATTATTTATCCGCTGTGAATTATTTGCCTGGCCCTGCTAGGGAAGAAAAGCTCCTTCCCAGCCTTTGCCTGACGAATGGCCTGGCTGGGGGCTACTCTCCGGGTGCTGACTCAGCCCTTTCCCAGCTCCCTGCCTGCTCCTGCTGCTGCGTGCCTGGGTGATTCCTAAAGCTTTGGGTCACACTGGCAACCTTCAGGGTGGGTCTTAACTCCAAATGATCCTGTGGCTGCAGAATTCCATCTCTCCATGCCTCACTATATGGGATGGAGTGTCTCTTGCCTGGGGAGATGGAAAGGGCTCCCTGGCTGCTCTTCCCACCTCTTTCCTGCCCTGGAGAGAGCAGCTGGTGCAGGGATGGAGTTGGGGATGGTGTCAGAACAGGGATGCAGGCTGGAGAGTTCCTCTGGAATGCTTGCTGGCTTAAATTACATCCTACTGAGAAACTGATCTGTGATGATGTCCCTCATCCCGCTCCATCCGTGAAGCTGTCCCTTATCCCACTCCTCAGCAAGGACCTCCGTGTTGAGCCAGGTGCTGGGAGCTCTCTCCTGCCCACAGGTGATGGGGTGATGGCCTCTGTGGGCTTGTGGGCATCCCCCTGCCCACTCCTCCCCCCAGGAACAGAGAGAAATGGCCCTCAGAGGTGAAGAGCTGCTGGCCTGGGCTCATCAATCTCCATTTGCATCCAAAGAAGAAGGGGAAAAAAAAAAAAAAAAGAGATTTAGGAGCAGGATCAATACTGAAAGAGCCTGTCTTTTTTCCTTTCCCCTCTGCTCCTCTGGGGGTGGGAAACTCGAGGCAGGTACTGGGAGTAAATCCTCCCGGCTACCTGGATGTAAATCAGGAGGGAGATGATGGATTTACGGGAGCCCAGTCTGATTTACGCTCCCGTGTCTGGTCCCTGCAGGTCGGCGCGTGGCCCTGGGGAGGTGAAGTGCCGGATGGGGCTGGAGCCACCTCCTCCTGCAGGCAAGGTGGGACTGGGGGGGGTGGTGGTGTGGGGGAGTTTTCTATACTTTTTAAACCCAGCTCATGGAATTCAGGACTTTTTGCTTTGCCTCTTTCTGCTGGAGTTCAGCAAAGTGCATCCCCTCAGACCCAAGTCCCAGATGTCCTGCTGGGGGCTGACTTTGTGGCTTGGTGGAGAAAAAGGCTCTGGCATTGCTCCCAGTGATGCTCTCTCCCCTTCCATCCTTCCTCCTGTCCCATCCCAAGAGCCGCTGGGGACTTGCTGCCGGTGCAGTTGGTTTCTCCATGGAAGAGGGGGAGATTTTCCCTTGGGAAAGTCCTTCTCTGAGGACTTTGGAAGGCCCAGGGGTAGCTATGGGAGGTGAGTTGTTCCATCTCAGGAGCTCCCCTTCCCAGCCTTCCCGTGTCCCTGGCCATGGCAGGGCTGGAGTGGGCTCGGGGGGCTGTTGTTATTCCTCTCATGCAGCAGGAAGGATTTCTGCGAGTGCCATAAACCATCACGTGGGCAGAGCCTGGGTGAGCTCTAATTGCTTCTATTTGCATAACGAGGCGAGGCTCAGCATCCTGCTGATATTTGAAAGAGGAAAATCAAAATCAGCTCTAGATAAACAACTCCCCCCCTCTCTCCTCCAGTCCCTGCCCCCAATGCCTAATTTGTGCATTTTCTCCCTTAGTGCAGTTTTTTCAGCTCTTTGGTCTCTTCAGAAGCATCGAGACCACCCCCTGGGACCCCTCCCGAGGGAGCGTGGGTGCTGGGGGTGGTGTCCCTCTCCTCTAGCTGCGGTGATCTGCGGGCTTTCCCTGGAGCTGGCAGTGAGGGATGCGGTGCTGAGGTGTCTGAACGGGAGCTGGAGAGGATCAGGCTGGGCTGGGGAAGGCGGAGCCCCGGCTGGAGGCTCCGGGCTCGGCATGGGAGTGGGTCCTGCTCGGGGGTGGGGCTGTGCCAGCCCTGGCTTGGGGGGTCCCCGAGAAGGAGCCCAGCAGATGTCACTGCAGCCCAGCAAGGGCTTTGCTTGCACCCCACGTGTTGCTGTTTTGAGGGGACGCTCCTGCCCTGCGACTCTGGGAGGACCTGGGAGAAGGTCCAGGAGGACCTGGGAAAGGGGGTGACATCCCCTGCCTGTGCTGTGACACCAGGCTGCCCCCCCCAAGGGTGCTGTCCCTCTGTAAGCCCTTTTCCCTGCTCGCCCACAGCCTGGTGGACCAGAGTCATCCCTGCTCCTCCTGTTCCCTCGGGTTCCCAGGGTCCTTCAGCCAAACCCAGGTGTCCCCCTGGGGGGCCCTTGGGCATTGCCAACTCTTGCTTTGTGACCTGGAGGGGCTGTTCTCCTGGCAGGGGTTCCAGGGGATGGAGGGGGTGGTGCCTTGCTCTCTCCAGGCCAGGTAATGGACACCAAGCAGTGTTGTGTCCCTTCCCTGGGGGACCAGGCAAATGGGCTCCTTCCTCCTCCTCTTCCTCCCCAGCATGAGGGCTGGTGTCCTCTGAACCCTTTGCTGCCCTTTGAGGTAGAAGTGCTGACTCCAGATGTTTCCCTAAATGAGAACCTTCTGCAAACAGCCTCGGATTAGATTTGATTTTTTTTCTGGAAGAGATTCTTCCCTGCGAGGGTGGAGAGCCACCGGCACAGGTTGCCCAGAGAAGCTGTGGCTGCCCCATCCCTGGAAGTGTCCAAGGCAGGTTGGGTGGGACTTGGAGCAACCTGGTCTACTGGAAAGTGTCCTTGCCCATGGCAAGGGTTGAAATGAGGTGATCTTTGGGATTCTTTCCAACCCAAACCGCTCAGTGATTCTGTGATTTTTGCTTTCTTGGCCCATTGGTCATCAGTGGCCTTCAGCCTGCAGTGGGGCTGGAAGGATGGGGGAGACCCAAATGCTCTCCTGCCCTTGCCAAACCTGTAGCTGGAGCTGCTGCCTGCATCCCTGTCCTGGACCGTGACAGTCCCCCTTCTCTTGGCCCTTGGGGTGTGCAAAAGCCTTTTGTTGGGCCAGTGTGCCAAACAGGAGCAGAGCAGCCCCCAGCCCCTCCTCATCCTTCACATCCCACAGAAGCTGAGTGGGGCAGGGTGGAGAAAAGGAGGAGGACCCTCAAAGGTGGAAAGAAATCCCTCCAGCAGCTCTTAAAGGTGGGAGAAGAGAGGGAACAAGATGGGAGGAGAGGCTGCGAGCAGGAGAGAGCTGGTGCTTGCAGCACAGGGGGGCTGTGTTTGTGTGTGTGTGTGCACTGACTTTCCATCAGGCTGATGAAAGGACTGGGAGCTCTTGAAGCTGGAGCCAAGGTGAGCAACCTGTGGCTGTCCCAGGGGTGCTGGGGAGGGGAAGGCCTGAGTTTACTCAGGAACAGCAGGGATGCTCTGCCAGGAGCTGGGATGTTCAGTAATAGCTTGCCAAGGAGGGGTCGGGATTCAGCATCCCAGCCCTTGCTGTGGGGAGGGATGCTGGCCAGGCAACTCCACTGTCAGCCCCAAAGTCAGTGCTCCAGGGGGATGCACTGGCTGGGGGTGCAGGATAGAAGGGGTTTGCTTCCTCAGCAGGTCCCTGGGGCTGGTCTCTGCCGTGGTGGGGCTTTGGTGGAAGGGACAGCCCAGACTCCAGCTGGGAAGCAGTGGCTTTGTGGTGGTCTGGGCAAGGGATCTCTGGTCCCTCCTGCCCTCCAGCAAGAGGGTTTTTCCTCCTCCTGTGTGTGGAAAAGAAGCGCCCACTGCCATCACACAGCTCTTCCTGCCCTGCCTAGGGTCTTGCTTGCACCCCACCTTCCAAGGGCTTCCTGGGCTCTCTTGTCACCCCCACGTTGCATTTGGGATTTGTATTTAATTCTTATTTCTCTCTCCGTAGGTTTGTCCCTGTCACTGCCGCTGTTCCCAGCTTTCCAGCAGGTTTGCTCTGCAGAGAGCTGCAGGTTGGCCATGAAATATGACAAAGCGTTCATTTAAATGCACACCATGATGTCGGCGAGTCCATTAGGGGAATTAATTTGAATGGCTGGCATTTAATAAACAGCCTCGTCCCTCCTCTCCACACACAAACCCCCCCCCCCCCCACCACCACCACTGCTGGCATCTTGGAAGGGTTAAAAAGAAACCACATGTGGATATTGGAAAGAGTGGGGAGCAGGTATCTGGGTCTGGGGAGTGGTGGTGGTGGTGGGGAAATAATAAAAGAGATCTGGTGTTGTGAGAAGAATTGCAGTTTGTTTTGTTCACGGTTAAAAAAAAAAAAAAAAAAGGCACATGTGGAAGGGGTTTGGGTTCACGGGGTGTTTGGTGCACGGAGAAAACAAGGGGGTGAAGGAGGAGGACGCGCTCCGGCTGGAGGGTCCCAGCCTGGCTCCGAGCGCGCCGGGCTGGGGGGAGCCGAGGGGGCTCCAG